ACACTTACCGTCAACAGCTCATCGGGATCAAAAAGATGATGGGTGGCACTCTGCAAGATGCTGATCACATCACCAATCTGATGTGTCACTAATAACTGCTCTTCCTTCATCTGTAGTCAGTTTTACACATTCTTAATGTTGATGAAAATAGACTTGGGAGATCTCAAATGTTAAAGAATCAGAGAAGTAAATCATATTCCAGTGGATTATGTAATGCAGATTGATGCAAAGAAATAATAACACCATAAAAATAAAAGGAAAAGGTTGAGAGAATATACCTTCTCTCAAGTTCTGCAAGGGAATTCGAATTCACCCCAAGGTTATCTCCACGAGACTAAATTTTATTAACTCATCTACTTTTTTTTTTTTTACAATGAAAGGAAATTTCCCTTTAAATAGACTAAAAAATAAAATAAACATTAATAAAAAAAACTCTCTCTACACTTTTCCTATTTTCTCTTTTTCCCTATTTTCTCTCTTAAAATCACGTGCTAAAGTTTCCCTATCTTCTCTCTCTTTAATTCACGTGCCAAAAATTAGGCTCCTTTCTATCCCACGTTTTGCCCAAATTTCTCCCCAACTTTGATTATTGTTGATAAGGATAAACTCTCTCTAAACTTAACCTTATCTTATTTATATTCTTAAACTAACCCCTAATTTAACGTTATCTATTTATATTCCAAATTAACTAACCCAAATCCATAAATATCAACTCACACACAAACTCAATGCCCACAAATATCCCTGCGCACCTCCGCTCATATTCCTGAAGAGATAAACTAAAGAATAATAAAAAATTAAAATAACCTTAATATTATTTGCATCACTATGGAAAAGCAGAATCCATTGGGGTCATGACGATCAGATGAAAGAACAGTGACTATGAAGAGACATGCCCCCAAGGGCGGGTTCCCGTTTCCCATCATCCACTATCTCATAGGTGGTCATGACCCTGAAGGACATTGGTTTTCGCAGTCCAATATATAACAGCAGTTATCTTTGGGATAAAGTGCCATTTTTTTTCTAGGTAAAAGCTTATATGATAATGTTTTCAAAGTAACTTCAAAATTAATAGCAAAGCATAATAAAGGATGGATTCTCTAGTCCGGTCACCTTGAATATCGCCAGCGCTACACGAAAAAGCACCTTTGCACCTTCATTGAATAGGACATCCCATACCCGCATGGTTGTCTGAAATTCAAGTCATTGATCAGATACCATCGATTATCAAAGTCATCAACTGTTGCCAGTATTAAGATATATTCAAATAAATGAGAAGAAGTATTGGATCATTTCCATTTGTTTCTCCTTTGAATGTGGAAGACAAGAAAAAATATAGCCCTTTTATTTTGAACAACTGAATAATGTGTTGGAAAGTGCCAGCAAAACTTTTTTCATGCAAGCTGTGACAACTGAATATGGCAGAGGACAAAAGTTATGACAACAGTTATTTAGCAATTTTGCATATTTTTTCAAAATTCAAAGCATAAGAGACTCTGGCATCCAATTTCAAGTAATAGCGCACAATCACATGAAAAGTAAATGTTGAGCCTCTGGAAGGGGCATCTAGCCATTTCCCATAAAACTAGAAGCCCCTCAACATTAACTTTCCAACAAATAAATTTAACATATGGGCTTCTTTCCTCAAATAAATTCCATTGTTGTAACATGTTGCTGAATAAGAGAATATTTCTTTTCAGAGCATTACTCATTACGATGAAAACTTCAAGCAAAAGAAAGTAAGTTCCTATGATTTCCAGATCTGATTTTAAATTCTTCATTTTCATTCCGATAACTAAATTTTATTTCGATTTTGTTTCCTCATTTGTTAATTAACTTCCATTTTAGAATTCATGAAATGAAACACACCTCAGATGGCAAGCTTTTTGAGAAGAGACAAAGGAACCACTCAGTTGCTACAAGGGACACATCAAAGTCCATGCTCTCCAAATGAGAAGCAATCCTGAATACTTTCACATCAGTCGCTTACAAAATGTGAATGAGGAAAGGAAAATAAGGAACCAATAATCAAAGAGTCATAAAAGCAAGTCAAGAAACAAACCAAAATTTTCATTTTTTGATAATTAAACCCAAGAAAATTACTCACCTTGGACATTTCTTAGCAAGAAGATCCTTGAACACTCTTTGCTCAACATGGCACCCAGATAAGTTGTCGGTATAGCAATCATTCACCAAAACATTCTCCAAGAGCACGGCAAGCATCCAAAAGGCGTCTTCCTCAGTTTTCATAACGAGTAGAAGCAATGCCGCAACATAATTTAAACCCTAAGTCATACATATCCATCATCCAAGTACTCACACCACAGAATATTTTAAAACACAAAATGGTCTCTCTCTCTCTCTCTCTCTCTCTCTCTCCATCCAAAAAGTGTAGCTTCTTCATTTTTTTGGATTGAACAATCTGCCACAAATTGAAGAACTACCTAAAATGGAATTATTCAAGCAAAAACAAGCAACTCACTTGACAGTATCCGACATCAGAATCTCGGAAAGAGTAAGCAACAAGGACTCGTCTTAAAGATGCATGACCCTCAGGCGTGTCTAGCCAAGGATGACCAGGGAAAGTACGGGGTAAATCCTACATGGCAATCAAGTCAAATGTTTATGAATAAGAAAAAGAGAAAAAGGAAAGTAATTGGCACTGACCGCTAAAATGTTTGCAACTACTAATATACGAAGGGAAACAAAGAAATAAGCTATGATGTAATTTAAATATAAAAAATTCTACACAATTCGGAGAAAATCTTTGTAAGCAAACTGCGGTTTTATAGAAGTTTGAAGTTGTCCTAATGTCAACCCAAATAGTAAGTTGGTCAATGGATATGATGTATTGAGGGCTTGGGTGAATTAGAAGCTCTATACCATCTGAAGAATATCTTGTAAGTGAACTGCATTATACAGATGTTTTAAGTGATGAGTAAGGAAAAAAAGGACACAAACAACTTATTGATAATTAACTATGGAGTATGGATTAGATCATTAACAGGAAATTCTAACCTAGAAAATCATCCTAAACTAGAGTATAGAATGAATAAGCATTATAGACGAGCTTTTAAAACGTACAGAGGTGTAATTCCTTGGGATTCAAAGCTCTACATTCTAGGATTTCAGGGTTGAATCACCCAACCTCACACACAGACACAAATGCATGCGTACACACACAACATGCACACGCACATACACACACTCACAAGTATGGGCACATCAAACATTGGGTCTTTGGGTCTACTATCAGCGGTTTCTTTTGTGATCTTCATTGGACAATCCACATGCAAGTTTTCCAACTCAGGTTCTATTGGTTGAATCATTGACATTCATATTAAAGGTTGTCTGATTTCCAAATGGTGAAAATCTCTAAGTTTCTTGATTGGATAGCGGTGATTTTACTTGCTCTTACTCCTAAATAACTACTGCAGTTTCAAAGATCCAGGATCATTTCAACAGAACCTGACTTCTTGATACAGAACGACTCAACAGCACCTCATATATGTTTTATGACCAGAGCAACTATATGATTTTCTTACATAAATTAATCAAGAAATAAATATATATTTATTGGAAAAACAGAACATCAATGTGTGAAACCCCAAAGGAAAAAGCTTATCCTGATATAATTACTAATATGACAAGACCTACGATAGACAAATCCACCAGCAAGAAGGAAACATCAAAGGAAACTGGATAATGAAGAGAAAGCAGCTATTGACTATTGACCAAGAACAGAATGCATGAAAAGGAGCAAAAAGCAAACACGAGACCCCTTCACCACATTCCCTGGAACCAGGCCCCCCAACCCAAAAGATAAGAAGTACTCCCTATTCTCATCTCTTCTTTGTACGACAACAACTCGTAACTATATTCCTTGATGACCAGAAACTCACATGAATGATGAATCACACGCGCTCTCTCTCTCTCTCTCTCTCCAACCACAAAATAACATCTCTCTCTTACTCAAAAAAAAAAACACACAGATAATAAATCCTATAGAGAAGACCTTTCCATATCCAATAAATTCCTAAAGACCATTTGGAAGATAAAGAACCTCACAAACTCACAAGCACAATAAGGGAAAAACAAAGGAAAAGAAATGAAGAAAAATAGATAGATTAGGAATAGGTTGATGACTCTGAATTTTTCATTTTTTCTTATAAGCATTTTTTTATTCATATATCTGGAATTTCCATGCCTGACATCAAGAAGACCCAATTTCTCAGACCACGTATAGATCCCATGACAAACTAATATCTAGAATTAAATGTGGAATCTGCCTATGCCCAAGAAATCTGATGAACCCATTCCAAAAGAGGGCCCAAGCTCATATAAATCCCATGATTAAAAAAAGAAAAGAAAAGAAAGGAAAGGCACCAATCATATGACAAATCAAATTAGATCTAGAATGAGATGTGGAGTCTGCCAAAGCCCGAAAGACCTGATGAACTCATTTCAAAAGTGGGCTCAAGATCATACAAATCCCATGACTAGAAAAAGAAAAGAAAATGGACCAACAAAAGTATGTTCTACATCTTCTCCAATAGTTCAGGTGAAATCCGCTTGGAGACCTCAATTACCAAAACATAAGCTCGATCCCAAAATAATAAGAATCTAACACAATGGGGTTTAGCATATGTGCATGATTGAATAATCCAAAACACTCGAACAAAAACATGTCAAATGATCAAAGAGAAATTAAGACAGAAAACTAAATAGTTTAATTTTAAAGGAAGACATGAATGAAAACAAAACAATATTGCATAAAATCCAATGAGAATTAATGGGGTGAACCATGCGAAATTCCATCAAATGTACCATAGAATATGTTTAAAAAAGTGAAAACAGCGTTAATTGAAAATTAAGGACAACACAGACCATGCAAAAAAAAAAAACTCAAATTACATAAATCCTATTAGAAATAATGAGATGAAAAAAGCAACAAAAAACACCACAAAATCCAAATTACCATGGCATCCAATGAGGAATAATCAGTTTTATCAAAACAGTGAAATTCAACATACCATAAAAATTCCAAAAACAAACAATGCAGTTAATCAAAACACCACCAGAACCAAAATAAATACCAAAAAACCCAATAAAAAACAATGGATTTCATCAAAAGCACATAATGGGGCTCATCAAGCCACCCCAAAAACAAATAAACCGCCCTAAATCCAACAAAAAAAATAGGGGTTGACCAAACTCACATGATCAATCTGTCTAGTTGCAGGTGTGACCTTTCCCTCTACTGCTTTGATAAGATCATCATAATAACTCTCAGGAACAGTTGACCTCTTCTTAGCTGCTCCAGAAACTGAAAGCCAAACCTTTGGCCTAAGAACAGGGGGAATCCCCTTTCTTATAAGCCTATTCAATGCTAAAGTATTAGCAAGAACAGAGATCTTCAGGTTTGATACTGCAACTTCTGATATAGAAGAAATCTTGGGCTGTAAATACCAGTTAGCCCCTTTGCTGGCCTCAAGCTCCCACCATGCCTTTCCTTGCTGCCTCACTCTCTCTCTGACCTCGTTCAAGACATTGACATCATCCACATTGCCTTCAACGGTGAAGCCATAGAGATCTGTGAATTTCACTGTAATGTTGGTTTTTCTATGAATTGGTTTGGGTTTCAGGTATGGGTCACGGGTGTCCCATATTATGGGGACCTCCCGTTGGGTTTGAGCTCCACCATACATTTTCCGGCCTCTGTGTTGAGGTGCTAGAGAGAGAGAGGGAGGATAAGAGGGTGGGTTTTGTGAGTTTTCATTATTGGTAGAGAGAGAAAGCTAATGGAAAACTTGGCCTGAGAAAGAAATGGATTTCCTTGGGACATAGAGAGAGAGGGTGGATTTGTTTATGGGGGGTGGAACAAGAGACTCAAAAAAACACAGTGTAATGAATGATGGGTGATGATTGCAGAGAGAGAGGATGCGAATGATTTACAGAAAGATAGAGGATGGCAATGACCTCACACAGACCAGACACCTTAATATTCGGATCTGACGGATATACCCCCCTCGCTGTCCATAAATTACAACACTGGGTACAACATTCGGATATGTTGCGATATTGGGTTTACTTGACTTTCTCTAATCTTACGTTGGGAAAATTACAAAAACTTCTCAAAATCATAATATTTATACAACTTTTCCCAACCAGTTTATTTTAACAATTTTTACTTCAAATTTAACTTTCTTAACAAATACCCCGAAGTTAAAAAAAAGATAAAATAAAAACTAAAATACCCTCGATAATGCATGCAGTCCAGCACAAAATAGAAAGCATGCGATCCAGCACAAAATGGGGGCGGTTTGGGATTTTGTTTATGAAAGCTTGCGGTCCAACACAAAATAAGGGCAGTTCGATACTTTGGGCATGCGGTCCGACACAAAATGGGGTTGGCCTGGTACTTTGGGCTTATGGAAAGCATACGGTTCGACACAAGCAATCCAGCACTTTGGCATGCAACTTGACACTAAATGGAGGCGGTCTTGCACTATAGGCATTTTCGTCGGACTTTATTTACTTTGGGGTATTTACTAGGTTGAATTTGGGGTAAAAATTACTTTAAAATAACTTAATTGGGGGTAGATTGTCTAGAAAGCATCACTTAGGGGGGTTTTTTGTAATTTTCTCATCTTCTTTTGCAATTTTACATAGGGACAAGTTTTCATTAGTTTCTATTAAAGTGTTCTCTGCTTCAAACAATCCAATTAAGGTGCACCTTAAAATTTTATCATAATATGTAATTTTGTTGAAAAAAATTCTTAATATTATCTTAATATTTATTTTTATACCTAATTAGAAAATTTTAAAATCCAAAAGTAGTTAAAATCAAGTAGATCTATAAATATATGAAAATCTTGAAAATGGATGATCTAAATAATGTATTGCAAGATGCATTATTTTCGGGACTCCAAAAGTTTTTTTTTCCATATTCATACATCTCAATGTCAAGATGATCGATTAGAGGGTCTTTTCAACATTAAAACAATAGTTCCGATAGATTTTTGAGATGCATCTGTGATTCTACATTTTAAGGTTGCAACCTTATTAAAACTTTTCCCTAATCTTATATATATTAAAGGTAAATTGTCTCTTTGTATATATATAGATTTAAACTTTAAAAATAAGGACAATTGATTCACGTGGGCTGGACCGTATTTCTACAATATGCAATCCCAAGGTATAAAGCATCCATCTTAAAGATGGATGCAAATAAGTCGTCCATATAAAAAAATTGAAACTAATGGTCCATATGTTTTCTTAATAGAATTATTATTTTTAATTTTCAAAATTTCATTATTTTTTCATATTCATGATCTCCATGTTAAAGATTACATGTCCTTAAAAATTAAGTCCAAAAATCCATCT